GGAAGCTTCTGTCTCCTCTCACTGCTCGTGTCCCCTCGACACATAGATCTGGCTTCAAACCAAACGATGACCTCTGTCCAGCTCTTGTTCTTGCTTCCACATGTTCATAATTTATACCCATCCCTACCGCCCAGGGGAAGTGAGCTGAGTCCAGGTGTTAAAATAAGCAGGAAGGAGAGAGATAGCTCAACCAAGTTGGCAGAGGAGGACTGTCACCAGTGCAGGCTGGGGCCAGAGATTCTTACGTCCCCAAGACATAAGGCTGAGCTCCGAGCTTTGTGAGGGCCAAGGAGAGTTAGTACATTAGCTCTCCACTGCCTGATGCTGGGCAGTGAGTGGGGTCTGTCCCCAGTCCAGGCCTTGTAAGCAAAGGTCCCCATGGCTGGGTGGGCTGGTCTCCAAGAGGTCCCATCAGCTGCCACATCAGCCTGGGGGTGGGGCCTGGTGCCAGGAACACTTACAAGAACAGAGACACTTCGACCTCCCGCCGACTCTCCAAAGATGGTCACAGAGCCTGGGTTCCCTCCAAAGTTGGCGATGTTGTCCTGGACCCAGCGCAGCGCGGCCACCTGGTCCAAGTGACCCCAGTTCCCCCGGCTGTGTTCGTCCCCTGTGCTGTAAGAGAACAGGTTGGGGTGGGCAGCACAGATGCCATGCAGGGCTGTCAAGACTAGAAATGGGGCTGGGGCTCTCGGTGAGCCTTCTAGAATAAGGCTGGGCTTCCACACCCCTGACGCAGGGGTCTTCCCCTGCCTTCCATTCCCCAGCATGTGCTGCTGTAGGGCTCTACATTCACTCATCTGGGTAGGATTTACTGAGCATCTACTATGTGCCCAACACTGTACTAGGAGCTAGAGCACAACTGAGAACAAAACAGGGAAAATTTCTTACACTGAGCTCATAGTACAGACCATAAACAAGGAGACAGATAAACACACAATAAAATATCAGGGAGTGAAAGTGCATTGAGGGAAAATAAAATGGAGTGAGGGAAAAGGCAGAGGTGGGGCAGTGGGTGCTACTTCAGATCACGTGACCAGGGAAGGCCTCTCAGACACTGTGGCATTTGAGTAGAAGCCTGAATGAAACAAGCACGTGAGCCTTGCAAATATCAAAAGAAGACAATTCCAGGC